TTCAATAAACACTGCACGGGAGGTTTGACCGCACTGCTCCACCAGAGATTGTTATAACCATTCTCAGGCGATGCTGGACGAGCAGCGTCACCTTGGCAAATTTTAAGCAGAACGCTAATGTGTAAACTTCGCCGTTGCTTCATTGTAGAGAAGGGGCGCATTACGTTGTCACAATAAGTGCGTCGATAACCGGCTCGTCTGCGCCAGTTTCTTTGTCTGGGAATGCCCCCCCCTCCCCGAAGCGTTTGACGTTACAGGTCCGATAATAATTATACTGGTTACCCATCCCATGTGAAAACGTCATGAGTCGCACTCAGTGGAATTCACAAAAGTATATTCGGCGTCTGGACATCGAATATCCGGCGTAACGCTGAAACATACCTACAGTCAAATAAGCACTACACACGGGACGCTGTCCCTTTGGGTAAGAGGCCGCTAAAGCAGTCGGTTTATGCAATAATGTACATAGAAGACGGAGCGTATATAATCAGAATCTTAGATTAGGTGGCAGTCCCTCTGGCCAACTAATGTCAGTTAAAATAACTGGATGTCTTCCGATTTCAGAAGATACCGATGGCGACCCATTCACCTTCGTTAGCTAGCCGTTCGCCGACAGGCCAGGAGGAAATTATGCCAAAACGTGGGCTCCCTAGTAGTTTATGAATAAAATATCCTGCGGTCGATAAAAGGGCCACGAGATGTCGGTAACCATGGCAAATAGGCTTTTATCGACCCAGAGCGCCCACAAGTGGTCATATCATCCCAGCACCGATAGTTTTCCACACGACCACCTGCGTAGGTTGAGGAACGGAACTCAAAACAAAACTGCTAACTTTGCTCTTGTACAGTTGCTGCCAAACGGACAAAAATAAGAAGTACGTCATCTAACCGAGATGTTTTGAGGGTTTTCGCCGTGATTAGTGTCCGCGACTCCTCCTCTCCCCCTAGCGACCACTACAAGTGTGTGTAACAAGTATTCTGCCAAGCTGTCTGTTGTGGTATATGATACCCAGATATATGTAACGATGGAACGAAACGTTGGGCTTCCAACCATCTTTACTGAAAGGTGTTTCAGGTAAGCTACATACCCGTCCTCACACATGCGTATTCCGTAGACGATACGGAATTAAAAGAAGGAAATCGCATGTTATCGAAGAAAGACGGAATTAGTCATCATCGCGGCGCTGCAGCCCCCTTCAAAATACTGTTCTCTTAATGAGATGATAGAAAGGCTTTTTTTCCAGAAAGTTGCTAAATCGAATCTGTTAAAACAGAGTAGCCACTTCGTTAACCTCGGTGTTTGTTACCGAATGCCAAAGACAGTGCATCCAGCTTGCCAAATACACCGTCACAAGTTGCCATATAGTAAATCCACAAGTTCTTTCTGGAATTTTATGCTCTGGAAAACCAAAGTGCTAACTGACAGTTTTACGTAACAAGCGGCCTCAACCATTTTAGATTGTGACTGGACGAGATCGACAGCGCTGTCAATATCACATCTCAGGTTTATCGAAGGAAATAAACTGTCCCACAAACTATACGTAAAGAGACTTTGTAGAACCGGGGGTGGTGGAGATATCGTCACTTGGTTGAATCGAAAACAAAGATTCGAGTTTAAGAGGTTACCGTAAAAGATCTTATTTTATATGGCTAGGAAACGTGACCTCCAATGTCTGAGCAGTATCAATTTTAAGCAACCGGTAGCCGCTTTAAGCTTCGGGGCTACCTCTCGAAAATAGAACGTAACAGTTGACAAGAAATAGCTGACGCAGTAAAAGGCTGTCTTTGAAGATTTCGACCAGGCAAGGTTGTGCACGTCATCTC